TACTCACAGTTCACCTATGTTCACCACTCAACCTTAGTATCGGAACTAATTAGTCCTTACCGACCACACATCCACCCCTTCCACTCATCCGACCTAGAGAGGCCACCCACACACATCACTTAGTCAGTTATCCCTTAATCACCATGGGGCAACGACCTGTAAAGACCCCACCTACACACCCCCGCCCACACTAACACCAGCAACTACCTAGCCTAGAAAGACCACACACACCTAGTCCACTTCCATCTCAATAACCACCAACGGCCTGTATAGGCCACCCCTACACATGAGGTACCATACAACATGGCTTCCTCCTACACAACTCTCGGCCAGTGAAGGCCCTCCACATATTCAGCACCCAACCTGCCACCACAACCATAGGGGCCATGCACACTCATACACATACCCGATCACGTAAACTCACCTACTCAGTCCCTACCATGCTCAGCTTGTAATGGCCACAAACACACACACCAGATGCCACACTAGAATGCTCACTTACACTGTCACACTTGGCCTGTAATGGCCACACACACACACACCATATGCCATACTAGAATGCTCACTTACATTGTCACACTTGGCCTGTATTGGCCACACACACACACCGGCCGCGTCACAGCTCTTTTGGAGCCACACACTCACACACGCACCCTAAACCGCCTACATTCAACAACTCAATACTTATAATCCTCGGCTAGTGTCTACCATACATGCACATACCAGACGCCAGCCTGAGCCACTCGCTCACACAGTCACACGTGGCTTGTAATGGCCACACACACACATCGACCACATTACGGCTTCTTCCTCACTCCAAAACACTCAATCTGCCTCTTTTACTCAGATCCTATGACCTTACCTAGCCTACACAACTTCCACTCAACCTATACTCTCATCGGACCGCTTATACTTTATCTACAACAAACCTCTTCACAATAGAGATTATTACATCCACACTCATCTTAATCACCTCATCCGCACTGCTCCTCCCTTACTCCCGATCACCTCATTCGACCAATTTTCAGGAAAAAAGAAAATACTGATAGAATCGATCTTGCTTTACCATACTGAGTCAGAAACCCTAAATTCCCTTACCTCTTACCTCTGTTTCCTCTCCCTTAGCCACAGCTCACTCAACTCCTCCGGTCTTTCGAATTCTCCCTGCGATTTCACTCTCCCTCGTTGTCTTCTTCACTTCTCCCCTGTATCTCCCTCGGTCGTTCTCCTATCATTTTTCTCTCTTTTTTTTTCTTTTATATTTCCTCAACCTATTTATACTTACCTTAAGGCTCATCCTAATCGTCCCTTTCTTTTCCCCTAATATAATCTACACCATCCATTTCACTATTCCCTCTCTCTGTTATTTTATTTATTTATTTTAATATGCTTGAGATGATCATTTAATGACTCACTATATATAAGTATATCATCAAAATAAACAATTTACCAAGATACTTTCATATAACATGATTCATTAATCGCATAAAAGTGCTAGGGGCATTAGTTAGCCGAAAAGGCATAATCAACCACTCATACATACCATAAATAGTTTTAAAGGTAATTTTTCACTCACTTTTAGCTTTTATCTTGATTTGAAGGTAACCACTCTTTAAATATATCTTAATGAAGAAGCTAGCTCCATTCAACTGATCAAATATGTTATCATCAAGTTATTTTGTTTACTGCTCGACAGTTTATGCACATCCTTTACAACTCGTTGACATTAGGACTTAAGCTTTCCTCTACATGGCCCTTCTCCAACAACTCCACCCCTTTTCTCTGAAGTTCTTTCGTCTCTTTAGAGTTACTTTGGCATCCTAGTTAGTTGGGAATTGATAAATTAAGGATAAAGTCAATCAAGTGCTCAATTCATTATAACAGTGGTAATCCTTCAGGTATATCTTCTGGAAACATGTGTTCCAACTCCTACAAAAGAGACACGACAACACTGGGTAAAGAGGGGTTAACATTAGTTAAGTTTAAGTAAGTCTTTTTATATCAAAGTATAATTAAACTCTTTTTTTTCACACAAAGAACTATTTAACTCTCTCTCTCTCTCTCTCTCTCTCTCTCTCTTTTTTTCTCTCTTTCTCTCTCTCTCTTTTTCTTTCTTTCCTACTGAGCCTTTATTTTTCTTTTGGGCTTATTTCTTGCTCATTATGCCTTCGTTTATCTTGATGGCATCTTTTCCACTCATTAAGTCTTCACTTTTCTTTTAGGACTCTTTGTCATTGGCCCTTCACTTTTCTTTTTGGCCTATTTTATTTCTTTTTATTTGAAAATTTAGAATAACTTTTAAGAGAGTTAAATTTTGAATTGATCATCGAACACTTCTTTAGTTGTTAATGAGATAAAAGTATGATTCCTAAAATTGTCATGGGTAACACACCTGTTGTATTGCCATGGCCTCCCATGTAAAATATGAATTTCATGTATGGGTATGACATCACAGCAGATTTCATCCTAATATCTCCCTATAGCGAAGGATACCATCACTTATTTGTTGACCTTCACTTCTCTACATTTATTTAGTCACTATAACTTGTAGGGGTTAGGATATTTAGTGCATGTTAAGCCCAATTTCTCCACGA